ATATAGTATGTAGTCTTTAACTAAGGCTGTGCGGGTACTCGAAAATTTAGGCACTCGAGTCTGAGATCGGATCGGGTGAGATTCCGAAAATTTAACCAGTCCATTCTGCTTAACTAGGTAAATGCGGCATTCGAAACTTAATTCGGGAGCTGTCATTACATTTACCCCACGATTATTTAAGCTTATAATCATCGAGTGTAATGACGGCTATTGAAGTCAGTTTTGAAACTCAATTCGAGTTTAAGTCCTGAGTTGATATTCGGGTTCCGAGATTGCGCGTAACCGAACATATTTATATGCTCGCTTAACTTTCGGGATCCCGCTCGATCCGAATTTTCAGCTACCCGTACGCCCCTAGACTTTTCTGGTCGATATAAATACAGATAAAGATAGAAGTAATAATATAAATAATCAGTCTAATATATTTTCATATTTTATTCAATTATATGATATTTATTTTAACGGAAGCTTTAAACTTGTTGCAGGTTGCGATGTCATAATACGACAGCACAAGGCCGCGCTCCTCAGGGTCACCGCACTTTTGGCTTGCAACGAATTGCTTTGGATCGGCACGAGCGCTGGCGTACTATTGACCGTGCCAATTCCTCATATAAAGCCATCCACTCAGAGAATGTCCCAACCACCGATCGTAACTGGTACGTATTGACGTCACGTTCGATCATTTATAATCGTTTCTTATTACTTTCGGGATAAAGCTGGCCACCGAACGTGTTCGCAGCTTCATGCGAGATGTCTGTATCGGCGCTGCGTAGCGTCGGTCGGACACGAGTTCTATCGATCATTTTGAAATTTGTGGACCTCCAAACGATAACGTCTTTAAGCGTGATATTTATAAAACATTCCTAACGCTTCATGAGGCGAGAACTAATAAATTTTGAGAAACGTAGCCACACGTGTATGTGTATAACGCAATTCTTGTTACAATTTTAATCTCTTTTGAGCTCTACCATTCAAAATTATCCGATATGAAGTGACAAATACCAATTTAAAGATAATGAAATTCGGGGCTTAATAATAATGTAGAATGACAATTTATTGTAATGGTCAGGTATTCCACATGGACACACTGGACACGTACGTTTTCTCACATGCGTGGAAACGACGACGCCATCGAAGCCAGATCCGCGTCCAAACTCTCTGAAGTCCAGCAAGAACCAACAAAATAATATCAGTCGTGGAAAGCTGTTGGTTATATCAGGCGGAGATGGTTACGAGGACTTCAGAGGGCCACAGGCATCTGCCGAGCTGCAGGCTGGACGTGAGGACTCGACTAATCATCTGCTGCTATGGAAAGTGTGATGCGATCTAGCACGGTCCTCGGTAAGTACTTCATAAGCGTTGTTTTTAAAACAGTGTAATAATATACAGTGACTCCCATTGATATTCGGATACATTTCAAAACGGAACAATTTTTTTTTAATATTGGACCAAATAACTTCATTTTCTATGGGATGTTAGATGATTCAGTTTACTACATAATGTGTAACAAAAAATTAAAAAAATTTCTATTCGTCGGAATTCCGAAGAAAAAAGAGAAGAAAAATTGAGTCACCGCGAGGAGCAATGTTATTTCGCATTTGCACAAAAGTTTAGGCCATATTGTTTTTTAGAAACAACTAAAGTGGAATTAAATATTTTAATATACAGTGACTCTCATTAAAACTTTATCTATTTTATTTTTATTAAAATTTTCGTGTACTAAATAACTAATTTTCAAAATATTACAGACAAGGGCCGCAGTTTACGTACATCGGCATGACATGCCGTGGGAATCATTCTTGCGTATGCACTCCATATGCGATCGGGTCCGTCATCGTCCGATCGTGACTGTTCAGGACGCATTCGCCCGACGGTTTTTCAGGGAACGCGGTAAGGTTCTCTGGCTGGTTTTGGCCGAGTGGATCAAAAGCAGGATGAGGGAGGTCCGTTATTTACAAGGTGCCAAGAAGCACGTGTTCCAAGATACTATGAAACCGGAGTAAGTAGGTTTCTCTAACCGTCATTTATTACTGATCGAGGCTACAACTTGTCGATGATTTATTCGACATTCGTTGGATCACTTTAGATGAAGCTACGAGACGATTCGCTGAAATCAAATTGAAACGCGAATAGCGCCGTTCTAAGAGTACTAATTCACGCGGTGAGAAGATTTAAAATTAACAGGTCAATATGAAAATGAATATCTGTTGTCTATTTAAAAAAATGTTTGATATCTGATAATCGATTCGATGCCAATTTGTACTTTTGCAATGGACAAGGTTGATGATCATGGTTTTTCGGCGTTCGATCTTGCGGCATCAGTTCGTCACGTGATTTTGATTAAGTGTCGATCTGTCGATGTAGATAAGTACTTTGGTGTTTAATAAAAAAGAAAGCAGGCAAACGAACGTACGTTCTTGTAAGAATTTAATTTACGCACGCGTGTACTCGCTTATTACATTTGATGCGTGCAAGTGTTAGCCCATAGTTAGTGAGATAAGGTACGATTGACGTTACTCAGAAGTAGGCGGAAAATTTTGCGAAAATTAAGACACAGTATAAAATGAGTTTCTAAAATCCGAAAAGGATACATTGATCAATCAATGTACGCAAGTTACAAAGTTGGAGACTTATTCAATTCGTCTCGCCAAAAGAAGCAGGTCATTGTATTTATGTATCAACATAGCAGTCTGGCCCGATCTTATACAGATTGATTGAAAAAAATTTGGCACAATTGCTGTGAAGATTAAAATGTAAAAATAAAGCATTTAAGAAAATTAGATTAGATGCGATTTTTGTTTACATTAAAAAATGTTCAATTAACGTTAGTTCATTATCGTTGTTAGTGTCAACGTAGATACTTTAATGTTCAATAAAGGGAGAGTAAATGATGTTAAAATTTATCTCACTAATTGATGGTTAACAAACGAAAATAAATGAATTACGATACCTGGAGGAGTATTGAAACGAGCTTACACACAGTACCGCGATGCTGGCCTAAAAATGCCTTTAAAACGTTCCTAAAAGGGAATTAATCGAGTTAGGACGTCAAAACAAGATTACCAATGTCTATCGATTGACGCTGTACAACACGTGTAGTGACAAGTAATATCATTGTTTAGTAATAATTCATCGATCAGAACTGAATGTGTTCGTGTTTAATCGTCAAATAAAATTCTAGCAAATTTTCGAAACCCAAGGCGGTATAAATGTACATTGGATACAAATCAACATTTTTTATGCTGAAATTTACGAGAAAAAAACGATTTTATTTCTAATTGCAAGAAATATTATTTATCGTTATTTAAAAAAATGATCGAATGAAATTTTATTTATTCAATGGGAAAGGAGGCAATGTGTTTGTTAGAAATTTTCTTCCCATTTGCCTTTCCTTTGATTCCTTTTTTTCTTATCGATATGCCAGCGGTACTCTCGTCGAGGCATCTTGCCAAATGTCTCGCTGAGACTCTTACCGAGGCGAATACTATTTGCTTCCCTCATCTTGGCTCGAGTCTTGAAATCATTACACTTTTCTGGCTTGGCATAAATGTTCTCGAATTTGCTGCTCGTCTTCGCGTCTCGTAATAAAAAAATCAATTCGAAATCGAACGTTGAGGACATGAGACAAAGCTATACGAGGCGTAGCAAGCAATGCAAAATACACTTTGGCTGCTCTCGCCTTGCCTCGTCGAGAACGTACTGCTAGCAATAGAGATTGTTGGAAGCAGAATAAAAATAAGTCCTTAATGATTTGTCACGATAATTATTCTATTTAAGAAAATTAAGTTATCGGTGTATATAATGGTACAAAATTCAAGAGGCCAAAACTCTAATCCTGTCATCTATGGATAGGCATTAATCTCCTTATAGAAGTTTTATTCGCTTGAACTTCGAGGGACGCGTCCGACATTTTATAATATTAAGCGATTTGCGGACGTATCGACTATACGTGATTGATATACAGCGTGTTTGACAATAATTAATTAATATCGATTCTTGAAATAATGTTACGCGAGATCTATATAGTATCATTGCAATTTTTATTGTTAATCGCATATCTTTTGTCCATTTAATTTTCCAAATCAACAGTCTTCGTATGAAATATTCGCACGACATGCTCCGTTTCATGATAAACGAATCTCACGATGATAACAATTTCACAATCGTTACGTTTCACTATCGTAACTTGTTTCGATTAATACCGGGGACACTTTACAGCTTCGGATAAACTTTTCCCTATATCGAAGTGAATGTTGTATTCATTTTACGAACTTTGGAGTTCTCTTGGAGGTGATCGTACACAGGTGTCCAATATTAGAGGATTACATGAACATTACATGAAGTCCAATATTAGTGGATTAAAAACTGTAATTATTCGATTGAAAGAAATTGTATAAATGCAACATCTAATTTTAAGAAAGGTACAAAAGAACAAAACATTGATGAAATGAAATAAAAGATGAATTAACTATGCGAGTGTTGTATCGCTTCACCGGAACAACCGGTAACGCTTTAGTGCTTCAAGACTGACTCGGATAATTTCAACAAACGAAGCAAAATATAACATACTTATTCCTTGTATACATGTATTGCAAGTACTTAATAGTACCCACGTTTTTATTTCCAAATTACCTGAACCGGCTTGAACTGAGAAACGGCACCCCTCTACGATTATCACAGAAAGAGAGACACCTTGTCTTGTACATAATTATCAACATACCTGTACGTGTGAATAAATCGTTGTCTCGCTTGAAACCAAAATGTGCACTTCGTTGCCAGTGAAATTGTCGACCGCGTACAGGACTTATATTTTGTTTATAGGTGTGATTTCCACTATTGTAGAGAGTCGAATATATGTACATGTTCGAACGCGATTGAGCTTATTGTCAGTTGCGTGAAGAAACGAGAGGGAAGCGCATATAAAACGTGATTCTAAGGACTGCACGTGTGACGAATCTTTGCCTTTGAATGTGTGTTTGTCTTTCACGAATCGAAACGAATCGAGTTTGCCTGTGACGCAACGTGCACAATCATATCTAACTACTCTATTTGTGTGATACGACGGTGAACAGAAAATGTTAGGGTGCACCGTTTCGCAACGATTGCAACGCTGATCAAGTACATTTAGCAGAAGTATCTGGCAAAATCTGCAATGTTCTGCGCCTTTTACTGCGTTGAATCGAGAGAGTAGATCATTGATGAACTGGGAGACGAGCGTGAAATTAAAAATCGAATTATTATTTATTGTAACTAATTAAGGTAGATGAAAGTACGCGATTGATACTGTGCGAATGGTCATCTGTGGTATATTTCTAGTGTGCAATAAAAGAAAAATTGAGGTGTCATGTACCCAGGAATGATCGCGTCCCGTAAGTTATTGATTAATGTTGTTAAGTGTCTAGAGGCGAGAGATACGTAACTGCGTATAAAATATATTTGTATTATATGTAATTTTTTTTTCTCTACAGTCTCATCCTATTCCCTAGATCCGTTAATATCTAAATAAATAAGTTTTATCATTTACGAGTAACGGCACTAAATATCATCATCGTACATAAGAAGGTAAGAGTAACATTAATATTCTTTAGAATAATTAAAAAATGCAATTAAAATTTATTAATATCATTAAATCAATACAGTAGGAGGCGGTAAATATATATTTGCAGCTATTAATTACACCGGCTGCCATAATGAAGTAATAATTTATAATAATGTTTGTTATATGTACATCACAAAGTTGTTGGTACAATATGTATTCTCGTCAGGGTATATATTTCCGAGAAAAAAATATACTATATCGCTTCTCTCTTAAATTCTATTTAAAGAAGTAAATTGTACAATGCAAATACATTTTAACATTCAATACTTTGGTAAATATCCATTCATTATGCTTCTATTTTGTAACTACTGCACACTTGCATTAATTTATTGACTAGACATTCATTTACAACTGTCAGTAGTTTATATGATGAAACTTGAAATGATTTATCGTTGATTCACTTAGGATAATGCATTCTTGGACAATTTTATTTAATACCTTTGTTAAAACAAATTAATAATAATCT